ATGCCATCCTACGACCCATCGGAACCGTCATCGTACCTAATGTACTATGATGTAAACAATTTGTACGGGTGGGCGATGTGTCAACCGTTGCCCTACGCCAAATTTCGATGGGTCGATGATGTCGCGAGCTTTGACGTAATGTCTGTTGCATCCGATTCGGCTACCGGTTACGTGCTGGAAGTCGATCTCGAGTATCCGGTGAATCTTCACGACGCGCACGCCGACCTGCCGTTCTGCCCGACGTGCGATAAGCCGCCCGGCAAACGGGAGTTCAAGTTACTCGCAACGCTGTACGATAAGCAGCGTTATGTCATCCACTATCGTAATCTGCAACAATGCGTGCGACATGGTCTGCGAATTGCAAAGATTCACCGCGTACTGCAATTCGCGCAATCTCCATGGCTCCGCGGATACATAGAACTGAATACACAGTTTTGGACACGGGCGAAAAATGATTTCGAAAAAAATTTGTACAAATTGATGAACAACGCCGTTTTCGGCAAAACCATGGAGAATGTGCGAAATTACACGGATGTCCGGCTCGTTACACAGTGGGATGGTCGGTACGGAGCGGAGGCTATGATCGCAAAACCGAATTTCCACAGCCGAAGCGTGTTCTCGGAGGATCTGATTGCCGTAGAGTTGCGAAAACTCGAAGTGAAATTCGACAAGCCGATCTACGTGGGTATGTGCATCCTCGACATATCCAAGACCTGCTTGTACGAGTTTCACTACGAGTACATGGCGCCTCTCTACCGCGACAATTGCAAAATTATGTACACCGATACCGACAGTCTGATATACTTTCTGCACTGCGAGGACGCGTATCGGGATATGAAACGTGATATATCCAAATTCGACACGAGCGACTACTCCAAGAACAACGCTTACGGTATGCCGCGCGCCAACAAGAAAGTACCCGGTCTGATGAAAGACGAGAATAACGGCGCGATCATGACGGAATTTGTCGGACTGAGAGCGAAGATGTACGCGTTGAGAGTCACCGGCCAAAAAGA